GCCGATCCGGCCGGTAGTGAAGACATACCTTAAGTGACATTGTGTGGATCCCTGTTTATTCAGGCACCAGTGACATTCAGTGAAACAGTTGGAGACTTCTGCTACAGTAGGCATTCCACTACATCGCCGTTCAACAGGGAAAAAATCTAGCCCTTGTCACTACAGCTGCACAGAAGACTCCAGACAGTGTGGAGCTATGATGCATGGAGGAGGCTACGCATCAGAAAGCTGGGCAGTGGTGTACTTGCTCCATTTACATGGCTGGTAGGGGTAGGACAGGGAATAGGCAGAGCTGAGGGAGCCCCCACTGCATGGATCCTCTAGCTCTTCCTTTCCAGTAAGGCTATAGGCGCCCTGAGGGCTCTTCATGCTAAGGGGCTGAAGTGGCCTCCATGAAGATGCTTTACATAGTTGGGATGAGGAAGGAAAGAATAACATAGCTCTCGCCATCCTTCCATGCATCTCCTTGCTGCCCATCCTGGCTCTGTACTGGGCTGATGATTGGTTCCTATAAGCACAACTTGCTTATACCACTAATTTGCTGAGTTGTGACAAGAAGATGGACAAGCCCAGGGCTGTTCTATTGCTAAAATGCCCATCAGAGAGAGAGTCTGAAGGGGCTTAACTCTTCCCTAACCTAAATGAGGGATTTCAGAGGAGGGATCAGCATCCTCAACGGTATGCTTGGGTGGCAGCGGTTACTACGGTTCATGTCAGAGGTTTGTCTTCTTCCATCCCTAGCTGGGTGGATTCGGTTAAGTTTTCAGTTGGACAGACCTCCTCAGACTGTCTGGATTTAGATCTGAGTGAAGGAATCCATCCCCAAATGGCACTCCGGAAGGATGTGGTATGGGGAGCAAGAGCGTAATACAGTCTGACTTACCAAAATTACAGGCCTGTCCACTGAGGGCAGAAAGCTGCTGGGAATAGGCCCAGTCCTCGTCGTTGGGAGCAGAGATCACCAGCAGCCTCCTCCTCCATCGGAATCTGGAAAGAGATGAGAACACAACAGAGAAGCATTGTTCTGTGCTGCCTCAAGCACCCTGCGCATTGTTTTTAATTGAGGGGTCAGAGTAGATATGGTATTTCACAGCCTTCAAAGTGCTTTATGGAGCAGCCAAGGGGGCCCATTGGACGCTACTGTGACTCACATGATGCACAATGCATCTTGCTCCTAAAGGAGCATCATTTTGAAGGAAAATTCCCACCTATCTCTAGTGGGGAAGCATTTTTAAAAGGTTTGTTAGTGTTAACTTAGGTGCTGAATGTGCTCCCCTAACTTGCTTAGGGGGGTTATAGAACTATAGAAAAACAGCTTAACTCAGCTTTCATTATTGCTCCATAGTTCATATTTGGGGGTATGTCTATACTGCAGCTGGAGGTAGGTTTGGTAAGCTAGTGTGCTTAAAAATAGCAGTGGCACTGGCAGCAGCATGGGCTAATTGCCCCGACTACAGTCCTATCTGAGACCCTAGGTACGTACTTGGGTGGCTAGCCCATCACACTGCCACAGCTACATGGCTATTTTTAGTGCACTAGCTTGATCAAAACTAGCATGTGTATGTCTACCCAAGTTGGAAATTACACCACCAGCTGCAAAACAGATGACGACTTTGAGAGTTTAGAGGAGATGTGCTACAGCACTGATACTCAGACTGCGGCTTTTAACCACAAGTGGCTCTTTAATGTGTCTCCTGCAACTCTTTGCAGCATATAATATTAAAACACTGTGTGATTTAATTATTAACCAGTCTGTTATTAACCAATCAGGATACTTTTACTATGTTATTAAGCTATCAACTTGCACTAAGTTATTAACTTATTTGTTGTGAGAATAATATATAAAAAACTAAATATTTCCCCCATTATTCACACTACTGTGGCTGGTGTGGGTAATGTTCATTGCTAATTTGACTCCTTAACACTGAGGTCTGTGTATCGCTGTGCTACAGGAAGCAGGGAAAGAAGGCAAGAGATGAAGAATGGGAAACAGGGGATGGGCAAAGCATCTTAAAAATAAACCCAAGCTCTCCCCCCACACGCCATTCTCCAATTTAGATTTGAATCTAGAACCAAATTCAAGCCATATGTTTATGAAGGTTCGCAAATGTTTGGTCAATGTTTTCATTCATTATTTGTATTCAAATTAGAGATGGAGCCTGAGCTGCAAAGTTTGTATCCAGACCTGAGTTGTCTCAAAGTTCAGGTAGTGTTCAGATCTAGGACTTTGGTTCATCCCATTTACAGCTGGGATTCTCCATTAATTTCATAGTGTGGCCCACGTCTTAATAAAGGGCTTATCTCCTCTGCTCCTGTTTGCCATGATCGCCTCCCCCCCAACATTCATGAATGTACAAACCACCTCCCCCTCCCATATATGAGTACAATGTCCCTGTGGCAACTAGAGCATTTTTTTCCATGGAAAAGGAGGATGAGAGGAACAATGGTCTAGTGATTTAACGTGCTGACTTAGGAGACATGGGTTCAGGTCCCTGCTCCACCCTGGCTTTCCTGTGTAACCTTGGGGTAAGTTATTTTAGTCTCTCTCTATCTCTCTCTGCCTCAGTTCTTCATCCTGTATAATGTGGGTAATAGCACTGCTCTACCTCAGAGGGGTGTTGGGACAGTAAATGTGATAAAGACTGTGAGATGCTCAGATAGTGGGGTAATGGGAGCCATATATATAGCTACGAGAGAAAAGTATTGAGTGTACTCTTGGCTTCATTTTAGCAGTTGGAACAAGGAGGAGCCAGCATCATGTGACTAGCCAGCTCCCTGTGGACCAGAATCAGGTGTTCCACAGACCAGCGTTTGGGAACCTCTGCAGTAGAGGAATATAGGCTAGATGTACCTTGAGGGTCCAGGTCTGAACACACTCAATATTTGGGGATGCTGGATTTAGGAGTTCAGTTTCATCTCTAATTCTCATACCTATGTTGTTCCCAGTTCTATCCAGGAGTGGAAGAGGATAAAGCCTGATCTCAATTTTGCATATCCAAACATCTTGACTAAGCATCTGAATTTTGAATGCTCAGCCAACTTGACCCTCCAAATCTCAAGATCTTTACCCATTGCCATCTCTAGTTAATATAATGGCACTGGGAATTGTATTTCAGACTGGGACAGAAAAATCACCATAGAATTTCTCACAATACACGTTAGCTTTCAAGCTGTTCTATGCTGCTAGAAGAGCTCCAACAGGTTGCAGTCATACAGTTTGTATATGGATTAGAGCTGCTCCTTCTAACTGAACATTTCACTGTGAGGACCACCTGGCATTGTCTTATCCAAGAAGGGTGGTGACGGGGAAAGATTTGTAACCAGTCTCAAAAACCTAAATGAAAGGTTACTTAGTATTTTAAAACAACACTTTTCTCCGTAAAGGTGCCTCCACATCCAAAACTAATTAGGTTTAAAAGAATTCACAAAACTGCAGGGATATTTTTGTGCCAGGAAATGCTCTTTTAAATGGAGGCAGATGTTGCTATAATACATAATAATAACAACGGTATTTACTTTGAGCAGTATGATACAAGCCTGTAAGACATCCCAAAGCTTCAAAACCTGTCAGTGTCGCCATTCACAGGTAACTCTGAATTAGTTGATTGTCTTTTTGAAATTTTTGAGCTGAGTCCAAAAAGAAAGGTCTACGCGCATGGTAATTTTCTGGGGAGGTTCTAAGTAGGCCAGTGCTTGTGTCACAGCATGGCCTGCTGGGACAAAAACCAGGACTTTTGTTGGGGCAGGGAGTTGCTGTTGTGACTTTTTTATTTTAAGTAAAAAAACAAGTTACATTGTTTTTTAGGCTATTGATGCCAGCTGATGAAGCAATGGCTGAGTTCCTCAGCCATATTGCATAGCAAAGAGATGCAAGCCAGCTCCTGACTAGCTGGTCTGCTGATGAGGTAATGGCCCTGCTTCCCCTCGCAGGCCCATTACCTCATCAGCAGACCAGCTAGTCAGGTAGCTGTAGTCTTTCCACTGCCTTTAATGGGCTTTGGATCCGTTTCCCCGTGGAGCACGGTGAAGAAATCGAGGGCAGCTCCTAACCAGCTGGTCTGGTGGTTTGGCAATCAATGGCCTGACTTCTTCATTCCAGTAAGACTGAAGAGAGAAATTCCTGGGAGGGAGCCTTAAGCCCTGAAGAGTGCCCTGCTGGCAGGAGGAAGCCTATGTGGGAGTGCGTGGGCGGAGTGAAAGAAAGGGAAAAATCAGGTCACCCTTAAAAAAAAAAAAATCTCCTTTGTGATATTTTCAAAACTTGACATGGGAAAAGCCCCATCCTAGCTATAAGTAGGGGCTTAGGATGGAAATTTTGGATTAGATTCTGCCATGGCACCTACCCATGCAGCCACATGGACTAAGGTGTAAATCGGGCTGGAATTTGGCTCATAAATGATGAGAGCCTCTTGCAGGAGTTGTTTATTTAAGAAAAACATTCACAAAGTTAATTCATAAAAAACAGTGGGGGCAGAATTGGAGCAAGGCCGGAGGGAGAAGTTCTACAGGAGACGGAAGAGTAGCCGCAGTTCTGATGCACAAACATGTCTGATACACTGAGTCCCCTTTTTCCGTGGTCTTCCATCCAAGTACCGGCCTGACTCAGCCCAACCCTCTGGCTCTGCTGGAATGAATCACTCACTCAGCCTATGCTGTCATCGCCAGTGTAGATGTTTGGGGATGGACTTTACCAAGGAACCTTAACCATGAGCCTTCAGCTGTGCAAGGATGAAGATAATTGACAATACAGTGCTTCCCACAGTTAGTAAGGGACTGGCACCCACATACCTCTTCACCAGGGCCTTATTTCTGATAAACAGCAAGCCTGGCATTTGGAATCTGAGAGCCTCCAGGCAGCTTTGTATCCAGACCTTCAACCTCTTTTCCCTACAACCACCCTCCATTCTCTACATTAGTCTGCAAGGGAGGTCAATGGTCTCAGTCCGGTCAGTGAGCTCAGACAGCATAGTCAAATATCCTGTGTTAAATTGGGACTGGCCCCCGCTCCAAATGGACACTCCCCACGAACATCTGTGGGTTTCAAGGGTTCCCAAAGACAGCTCTGACTAGTGGTTTCCTTCCATGCCATTGACGCAAATTAAGAATGATATTTACAGTTTAACTGACTTCCCTGATGAGACAGCAGGGGGTGACTCAGTTCTGGCAGTTTCATTCACAGGGAGAGGTAGTTTATGGACAAAACAAAATGAGCCCTGCTGAGGGCCAGGCCAGATTCAGTGACTGGCACGATCTATCCACCCTTTAAAGACCCATTGATTCTCACTTCCTAGAAAACAAAAACATCTTTGGAGACAGTTGTGTTTATAGATCCTCTATTTCTGCCTTTCTCTTCCCCTGTTGTTTTTTTATTACTAGGACTATTTTTAGGGAAACACAATTTTGTGGCTTCCTTCTCTGCTAGTATACAGCCTCTTTATTGCCTAGGACAACTGTTCCCAAAGTGCGGTTCTTCTTGGTGGTGTAGAATGAGTCATTCTGAGAGCCAAGCAGGAGGGGAATGGGGGAGTTTGGAGATGTGGTGGATCTGGTAAAGGCTCTCACTCGCTCTCTCTGAGGAAGTGGCCCTCAGAAAAAAGAACCAATGACTTATGCATTCACCTCTCCCGGCTGCTTATTCCCCCTTGGAGTCACAATCCTCAATGTCCTCTCAGTTATTTTCATAGCAATCAGGCATAAGAGCACAAACTGAGGATGTTGATGGTAGGGGAGGAATATGCAGCAGCAGCAGATGAAATCCTGAACAACAGGAGATTTCATTTTTGTGCAGATCACCCAGAGCTGCAACATTTAACTTCAGATCTGAATTTCTCCAAAGTCCAGGCACATTTTACACCCAGGGGTTTTGCCTTGTGGGGAGAAGAGTAATACAGAATATACAGACTACATGAGCAAAGCCGTCTCTCTAGGCAGGTTTTTTCAGATGTTTTCCAGGAGGCATTAGCAGCTCTTTTATACTGGCTGGTGACTAACACTGGGCAAAGAAAGGCAGAATTATTTCAGACATGATAAGAAGGACATTAGGGAAAATGGAGTCCGTGATCTGAACTGCTCAGAAGGAGTTGCAACTGAAATAATGAGATTGTTGCGTGTGGCGTCCAGCGACTGAAGTACAGAAACATTGCAATGCTATTCTAGAGCTTAACAGGTTCAAAGCATTGCACAAACATGAGCTAATTAATCCTCCCTTGCCCCTGTGAAGCAGATTAACTTTATCTGTGGAAACAGACACAGAAAAGTGAAGTGTCTTGGCTAAGACTGTGCAGTGAGCCTGTGGAAACAGAACCCAGGAGACCCCATTTCCAGGGCTCTACTCTCCACAAGAGTATGCTGCAGCTGCATCAGAGTTAACTGTGGTTAAATCTCATTACTTTGCTGGAAATGATCAATATTGCGAAGTCTATTAAAAAAACCTCTTTCCTTAAAAATAAAGTATGCCAGATATTTTAAATATGATTAATTATCACTAGCAGCTAGAAACAGGTCAGTGCTGAAAGTAATACCTGGATAAGAAGTTTTCCAGGGACTGTTTCTTGTCATCTTTGCAGACAATACCTTCCCTCTTCTGCTTTTCCATATCTTTGATTCGTGACTGGAAGGTGTCAACGAAATCAAATATTGACTTCATTGCAATGGGCACTTCATAATATTGCTATAAAATAAAAGGTAAAGAATAGGTCAAATTACAAGCAAAGCCCTTAAGCACATAACATGCCACTGCCAGAAGAGATAGAGAGGGTGGAAACTGTCTCTGATTTCACAGAGTCTGATTGTGAGGAACTGGACTATTCCTAGGATTCCAGCTTTAAATGTTTGCCTTGTAGGACAAACTTGTGTGTCAGGACATTGCACACAACTCACTAGAATCAGGTTATCTTGCAGTATCGTGCTGTGTCCTAGAACATCATTCATATACGATGCCGCATCAGCGTGTTGTGTCATGATATCCCATGGCAGCCTCAGGCTGCATTTCAGGACATCATGTGCTGCATTCAGCTCCTCTGATAGAGGTAGTTTTATGCTTTTGGTGAGTTGCCAGAGCACCATCCCAGCACACACACACACCTCCCACTGGAGTTCCCCCATCTTGAAAAGATGGACTATGCCCTCCACCCTTCCCATTTGCTGTCAATCTCCCATGCTGTCCACCTTCTAGCTGATGAAACCCTTATGACCCTCCAAGTAATGGCAAGGTCCTGAACCAGCCTCTCTCGTGCATCTCATAACAGTCCACAGCATATTTCTGCTTTCCAATGCCTTTACGTTCAAAGAGCTCAACTCCCCACCTTGACCCTCATGTCAATATCCGTCAGCACCATGAAGAAGTCATTGTAGGTCATCCCGTATTCTTTCCTCAGCTCATTGATGAGGTGCTGGTCCACTAGGTCATCATCCTCTACCACCTTCATGGGCTTCTCATTATCTTAAAAGCAAATAAACTGCTGATAAACATGGAATCACAGAGCAAACTCATCAGTTTCATCATATAAGTCACACAAAAGGGACCCAAACATCACCCACTCTCCCTCTTGCTAGTCATAACGGGCCATAGTTTTCAAAAGGGAAGTGATTTTGGCTGCCCAATTTGCGGCACCGTAAAGGGGACTAATTTTCAGTCCCCACCTTCTGAAAATCAGGCCCCTTAAAAGTATCTTGAGCTGGACATCCAAAATTGCTAGTCACTTTTGAAAATCGAGGCCATGTGTAGTTTATCCTGAAGGAACTCAAAGATCTTCACAGATATTTCACAACTACGGAAATGCAGTCACTTCTGGAATGGTATGTAGTGATTATTTAACAGTGCACCGCAACATTCTATGAAAAACAACATATCCAGATAAAACAGCACAGAGAATTTAAAACTGTAAAATACAGTTAACACAGTTGGATTTTGGTTAGGATTCCTGAGTTAACATCCCTATTCTTGCAAAAATTGACATGGGATCTTTAATGACCACAAGTGACCAGGACTGCTGTTTTGTTTCATCCGAAAGGCAGCAGGTCCAGTCCTTTAGTGCCATGTTGGGGTACTGATTTGCTACTGAGTGCCACCTACTGATCGTACACACACACACTTCCCCATGCCAGCATTCAACAATTGAAAAAGCAAGGTCTGCAGGTCAAGCCTGATTATCTAAATACACTCATCTCTACTGCGATCACAGAAGACATTCAAAAAGGCTTGCTAAAACACAGAGACAGTATTTTCATTTTGAAAAGAAAGCATCTTTGAGTTATCCACATGCAGCCCCCCCAAAGTAAAACTAAACTAACCAAAATCTCAAACAGCTGAAAAGATTTTTAACAAGTGAAAACATTATTTTTGTTTTCCTACATCTGAATAACCAAAGTGACCAAACTGATCCTGCAGACACTTTCACATACGCACCAGAAAAATAAAAAAAATTGCTTCGAAGAAGTGACCATAAGAAACCATAAAAAATTTCAGTCCATTATAAAGGTATAGCCAGGTGGCTTAAAAAAGATTTGAAACAGCAATGTCATCATCATCTCAATCTCAGCCAGAGTGTCAATAGTGCTGTTCTATAGTACTACAGCAACGATCTAAAACACTCCACTACACAATAGCATTCCTGCAGTGTTTTGTATAGTTTCTGTTTGTTTCTGTAAAGGATGCCACAATCGCACATGAAGCACCTGTTAAATGGGATTAACTCTGGCTCAGGTGTCATCTTTAAAGTGTCTATTACCACAACACAGCACCGAAAGAAAAAGGTGCATAATCCAAAGTGTTTGTAATATCCAAAAGAGATATTAAAAGGTACATGCAGCAGAGGGTGAGATCATACTGGACCCCCACTATCTTCTATTGCAATTCCCTAAGAATGCAGGTGGAAACAGGAACAATAAGATATATTAAATCTCACAGCACAGGAATCATATTAACGTCTAGCAATAGAGAAATAAATACATGAAAAATGACATTAAAGGAAATGTGGGGCACAACAAACTGTGAAAGAGTACAGTAATAACTATGCTATGCTCTTCTATAGCACCTGCCACCTGAGGATCTCAAAGCACTCTGCAATCATTAATTAAGCCCTCCCCCCAACAGCCCAAGATGTATATATTGCTATCCCCAATTGCAGATGGAGAAACTGAGACATAGGTATTAAGTGACTTGCCTAAGTCAGAAAAAAGCAGTGGCAGAGCTGCAATAGGACCCAGGAGTCCCACTCCCCTGCTCTAACCATTAGACAATAGTGAATAGAGACGAGGCAAACTAAGTTGGATAAACTAAGTAAATACTGACCAGAATATTTGATCTTTGGTTCACTATTCATTACTTTTCTTTTTCATGGATTTCTGAACATCTCCATGCTATGGGGGATATGGGTGTGGATTCAAAGCTCGCTGCAGGCCCATTGTCTCTATAACTGGATGCACAAAAACCCTGGATCCAGTTCAGATATGGATCTGAACTTTTTGTAGCTTGGGCCTGTTTCTAATAGAAATAGTCAACAGTCTGAATATTCCAGTGGTCACAATTTCTATTATGGGTATATTTACAAATAGTTTATGAAGGGTTAGTACATGATTAACAGCATGTTATGGACAGGATTCATATGTGCTAAACATGGTCATAGGCACAGCGGTAGAAGATGATGTCGTTGATTACAAGCTTTGGTTATAAGCAACCTATTGAATCCCTGGACTTTGACAATCACTTAACCATTTATTAAAACAGCTGTAAATCATATGAAATATTTATACATGTATTCTTAAACTGTAAAACTGGCCAGGAGTAAACTTAGGCTGGGAACTAGAAGAAAGTTTCTAGCCATCTGATGAGTGAGTTTCTGGAACAGCCTTCCAAAAGGAACAGCAGGAGCAAGAAACCTAATGTTGTAAAATGGAGCTTGATAAATTTTTGAATGGGATTATATGATGGGCTTACCTGTGATAGCAGGGAACTGGATACAATGACCCAAGAGGTCCCTTCCAGTCCTATGTTCTTATAAAATGTGACTTCTAAAACATATAATAATTATTACTAATACTAATTATTAATAAATGCAAACAACCCTGCAAAGCAAAGACAAACCATCTCAATAGAGTAGGGCAAGAAAGAACACGGAGAAATGTGACTGCAGCCTGCTCGGTGGTAGGTTACTTGACACCAGATAAATGTAAAATAAACATTAACCATGTGTCTATAACCATGGCACTATTTGTTTTGTTAAGATTGCAGATGTCAGTACTGAGGTGACATTTTAGGGCTTCTCTGTTACGGGAGACCAGAGAAGACAAACTATTTGACAACGCTCCTCTTCACAACTGATAGCTTAAGGCAGAGAGTAAAACTAGGAGTTAAAGGCAGGAGCAGGAGACAGAACTAGACATTTTTGCAAACCGGGAAGAGATTACTAGCCAGGGAACCCAGGGGTCCATTTCAAGACCACTCTGTTATTCACCACCTGCCCTCAACCTCCATGGCCAGAGATGGTCTCTAGCAGCAGGACCAGCATCATTCTACTGTGCAAAGATAGGGCAGGAATTGAGAGGGACCACACGATCTACTGCCACATGGAAGCTGCTCTCTTTCCACCCTTTCTGGAGGGGTCACAGCAGGAATGTGGGAACCCTGGTACCCTCACGGCTTCAGTAGCAGCCCCAGAGCAGTTCTGCCACTGGAGGGGGGGGGGGAAGAATTATTTTCCTTCCTCCCTCACATACATCTCCACAGTGCCCAGCCCAGCTACTTAGGGGCTTGGGGAGAGGATTTAGATGAGGTTACAGCAAGGTTGGGTTGCTTGGCTGAGCAGTACAGTGGCCCAGTGCATTAAGCATTGGCTATGGACCTAAGCAGTGTGGGTTGTAGTCTTGGGTCCAATGCTTAGTTTGCTAACCTGTTCCTAGCATTTGGAGTGAAGGTGGGCTGTGCAGCCCATGCACATGTGGCCAATTTGGCTACTTGGAGTGGGATTTTCAAAAGCACTTAGCACTGGCCTAACTCTGGTCTAGGGAAGTCAGTTGGGAGACTCTTATGGGATACAATAGGAGCAGAGCTAGCCAGTGCTTTTGAAACCACCCTGCCACTGAATGTGGGTATCTTTTCAAATGTGCATTGAATGAGGCTAGCTCTGAAGGAGACTTTATGAGCTCGGTCAGTAGTGCTCACTCGTGTCTGGTGACAGATTTAAACCTATGCTTCCCTTTAGATCCATAGATTTTAAGGCCAGAAGAGCCTATTATAACCATCTAATTCAACCTTCTGCACAACACAGGCCAGAGATCCTCACCCATTGATTCCTGCTTCAAGCCCATATCTTGTGGTTGAGCTAGAGCATGTCCTTAGGCTGGAAGTTTCAGGAGAAGAGATTCTTGCATGAGATTATTATATTATTATCATTTAGTATTTGTATTACAGTAGTGCAGGAAGGCCCCATCCAAGATAGGGACACCATTGTGCTGAACACTAGTGCATCTGGTCAGGCCATAAATATTGCAAGCACAGCTCTCCTTGGGAGATATTGCTGCTTCTGGTCCTGACAAGAAGCCAGACAGGACCAAATAAAAAATGAAAAGGGAAAAAGGAAAATAAATTCCTATTTTCTGAACACATCAAAGGTTCAGGGTTTGGCACAAGTTCAGGTGGGCTCTTATTTTAACCAAGTTGTTTTTCTCATGTCACTAGCTGAGATGAACCCCTGTAAGCCTTCTGTGTTTCATCACCTAGTTTCTTTCTTCTATCTGAGTATTCCACTCTTGTACACTTGCATGATTTCTGGAACTTTGCTGGGTTTGGGTTAAACCTGGAACAGGCTGAAGAAGTATGGCGTATGTCAAACAAAGTGCATTTCTGTTTTATTATCCAGATTGCAACTACATATAATCCTTATCAGGGCACTGATATGTGTATGGGCCAAACTATGCATGGGGTGATCTTGAGTAAACTTAGACTTAGAAAGAGCTTTCCCTGCTCCAGGTGTGCTATAGAGACACAGAAATGCTCTCTAGACTCTGCTTTCAGGGCCCCACTCTGAGTGGCTGGTGATTCCTGTTGTGTTTGATGATGGAATAAATGGGCCCAGGGAGTCACAACCCTCACAGACACAGGAACCTAGATCCTCCGCTGAGGCAGCAGGGTGGTAGCAGGCATTCTGTCACAACTTCCCGAACCTCAGACTAGCTGTCCGCCAGCCCTGAAATGCCACGAAAGAGCTGAGCTCATGAGATTTCCAGCCAGTCTCCCTTACCCAAGAAGTTTGGAGAAGCAGCTAAACTCCCAGAGGAAACTGGGTTTGATATGGCAGAGCTATGAGAAAGAGCAATAGTTTCTATACAAGCTCTTCAAAAGCTGCAATCCAGCAAAGCACATAAACCTATGTGTAACTTGAAGCATAGAGCAGCCCTTTGATGTAGTGGGATTGCGCCGGAATGGCATACCGGCACTTTTGCTGCATGGAGGATGCCATTTTGTTCTCAAAATGGCATCCTACACATAGCATAACTTCGCATGCACTATGCGTCCGAGGTCGTGGCCTATAGAGGATACCATTTTGTAGAGCAAAATGGCATCCTCCATGCAGCAAAAGTGCCGGTATG